TCTTGGTGCTTCCAGAAAGACTGTTGTTGTCATTGCGAGGGTGACGAAGATTTTACTGTGACGGTTCTTTTCTAGAGGATGTGGCTTCAGAATCCTCGTGTTGAAGCTTTAGGGCTTCAGGGTGTAGTACAGATGCACCGGATCATGAAGCTTCAGCCGTCAACCAAGAAACAAGAACCAATCTTCTTTCTTTTGCATCTTTCCTGTAAGCAAAGTGTCCTGTGACAAGTCCAGGCCCTTTGTCGTCTGGACAAGCTTGTCATCGTCCACAGGCAGCAGAGCGCGAATGCGCAAGTGGAACTGCCCTTTCTCATCCAACCAGCACTTGTCTCTGGTGAGGTCCGCAGTTCGTACGAGGTCCACATAGTGGGGGTCCTTACTATCACGGGCACCCTGAAACAACACACAGAGAGTGTGTCCTCAAAGGCAACAAGTGGCCAACGAGAGAGGGGCTTTACCTTCAGCCCGTTATCCTGAAACTATAGGACGAGGGTCGTCGGACGTTTGAAAATGCTCCGTGGCAGACCAAAACAGGCCTCTGCCCGGCTCGGTGACCTTTGGAAAATTGTACATGGCGATCTCCCATTCAACCTCAGCGGTGGTGAAGTCTCCGGCAGTCACTGACTTTCCGCTCATGCAGAATACCCGAAAGGAAGAATAATCGATAACTTGAGCCAGTACATGTTACAGTGATCGGCCGGAGAGTATTAGTGGTCTTTTTTGCTTTCAACTCTTTAGAAGTGCATTTGTGCGCTTTTGAAAGAACTTGTCAGTGTCACTGTTTGCGTAAGCATGGATAGCAGATGGAGAGGCAGATGGACACATGAGTTGATAAACCACAAAAGCGGATATCTCTTTTCACGTAGTAGCGCAAGAGTGCACGTGTCTAGCATATCAGTATATCTATAAACACTAAAACGGATATGCAGACCGAGATGTCTAGGACTTTAGGGTAAACCCTAAACCCTAAACCATAAGCCCTAAATCCTAAACCCTAAACCCTGGGTTTGGGCTTTTCAGCTTGAAGTCCTGACGGAGGGGCCTCCTCAACGATCCAGTAGCTCTTTGGCGCCTTCATGTATTCCGGAGGATGCACCTTCGGGTCTCGCGAATACTAAATTACTATATAGCATGTTGTGGTATATCATAGAGTACTATAGTACATTAGAGTATGCTATACTACGTGTAGTCAGTTGTAATATTTTCTAGTATATCTTAGCACATGATAGTATACTATGATGCTTAATAGGATATCCTGCTTGATTCCAACGGGTCTCTATTCGCTTGCCTCGACTTGGATGCGTGTTCGCGGGCAAAGCTCGGAGGTTGCTACAAGTAGCTGCCTCGGAGTCCAATCCCAGAGACTCCAATATCCCTTAATTAAGGAATATTCCTTAAATTATAGTAGGATCCTTAATAGGATTTAAAGTATATTCCTTAATTAAGGGATATTGGAGTCTCTCGGATGTTTCCCTCTGTCGCTCTGACTATCGCTACTCTACTCTACTCTACTCTACTCTACTCTACTCTACTCTACTCTACTCTACTCTACGATACTACTCAAGCAAAGTAGCATATTCAATCAGGATATAGTATAGTGTAGTTTGAACGCGCTTAGGGTATGAAGTGATACATTTCTGAAGCCTCAACAAAAAGGACCGACCCCATTCAATTGCCAGCACCATCGTCACCATCTCTACCCCACCACTGCACCACCACCCACCCCAATACCATGTCTCCACTTCAAGCCCTCAGCCTCCAGCTCCAGACTAGGAAATGGCCCGAAGCTGGAGATAAGCGCAAGCTTTCTGTACCCCACAGCCCGCCATTTCAGGGTTTGACCCTGGTGTTCATCTATAAAGACATCGAGTCATAACTATACTAGAAGATCAAGTCATATACCATACTCACTATACTACGATACTAGATGTTGGTGTACTATACCCTTAAAACCCTGACCTCCACCCGCACGGTGAGGTGGCTGCACTCCTGGCAGAGAAGGGATCATTTCGGAAGCACCCAGCGTTTAAAGGACCCTGTCAAACTACAACTCCCCACTCAGGAGGGTTGTGGACTTCAGGCTTCTTCGTTTCGAAAGACCCGAAACCTCGATAAACCCCAGCCTCTGCATCCGGAAATAAAATAAAGTTCCAGAACACCCAAGCCCGATGCCCCAATAGTGGTTTCTCACTTTCCCCACTCTCTTTGGGGCCAAACTTTGGGGCTTCTCGCATCACCTGTCCTTGGGCATGATGAAACACTTGAGCCGGAACGAGTCCGACCCGCCCGCATCGCGAGTGAAAAAGCCTGAGTAGTCGTGTCTGCAGCTGGACTTGCTGCCAGGCTAGCTGAACGCAAGAGTTACACAACATACCGCAAGATAGTATACTATAGTACGACAAAAAACCATAATATAACAAATTCCAGACTACTACTACTTCTTCAACTTCAACTTCAACTTCAACTTCTAGTACTACTACTACTACTACTACTACTACTACTACTACTACTACTGCTATAATAATGCTGCTAGAAGATTGCGAGGGTACTCTTCAGGTTAAAGTGCTTCGCGAGCTCCAGCCTGGCGGGCTTCAGCCCTGCAGAATGCAGGGGGCCTTACAGTAAATAAGGCTTTGGGTGTATCTTATATTAGGGTTTAGGGTTTAGGGTTTAGGATTATATCTTAACTATAGACTATATTCAGGAACCCTAACGGAGTAATAGACCTAATTACTCCGGCCCTAGAGTAGTGGTTCTTTCGGGCACCCGTGAAGAAAGCCACTTCGTGTTTTCACACGGGAAAAGTCGCAGTACAAGTTGGCAACGCCACATGAAAGTGGCAGTAGCCCCAACAAGCTGAACCCACGGCACAGCCACAGCAGAATAACCTTCATGTCGCAAAAGGAAGTCTGCATGCACAGGGACAAGATCTGCTGGCAACGGATGTTGAAGCTTGCGGAGCAGACTCTCATGCAGCCATCATCCGCAAGCCAACTGCCATGAAATGCAGCAAATGTGATGATTCACCGTATTCACTGACGTAAGTAATCATTCACTTGTAGCGGAGCTATGTGGTCTTCGTGATCTTCCCAATACACTGACGCTTGACGACACGAGCCCCATAATGAGCGCAACAGTTACACCGATCGTCGGTTAGCCAGACATTAACTACATAGTCGCCACACAAGGCGCGAGATATGTACTACATGTGGCTTTTGTCATCCCGAGTCAAACTGGTGACGAGAGGCAGTGGTTGTAGATATGTCAAGAATGGTAGTATGCCCCGTCTTGCTTCTCCTGATGGGTTTGTAGCCCCACCATCCGGCCACAGAAGCGGTAATTCCCAGTATCTGTATAAAGTAAGTGTGCGCAACGGTACTAGGATTTTGCACAACAAGAGACTTTCGCATTTATCTCTGTGTCATCTCTGGGATTACGTTTATGACCATGCTACTGCTACTGCCTGCTACTGCCTGCTGCTGCTGCTGCTGCAGGGTCATCATCCTCTCAGCGTCAGCAATGTCATTTACAACGCCACAGAACCGTTTTATGAGAACACGCTGCTTACGGATGCTTGGCTGCAACAGAGCCGAGCGACCCTCGTTCTGCTTGTACTTGTCCTGCAGTGAACAGATGAGCATCAACTTAGGCCGATGGTTGGCGGTAATCCCTGGAATCTGCGGAACCAGCTTCACCAGCTACTACAATCACGACTTAGAGGACTATCTGCGTCTGCAAATCTGTGTGCACCACACCCTGAGCACGAGCTGTGGGCAAGTTTGTTCGACTTGGCGGCATGTCGGCGGTCCTTGCGTGTTACAATGTCAATCACCTGCCACACCCGGGGTAGATAGGCCGGGAATCCTCGGCTGAGGCTTCGCAAGACTTCGAGGTGAGTCCGTCGGATTTAGGGTAAATAGCCGCAAGGCTGAACCCTCACTAAGCCTTTGCAGCAAAACTCAAACTCCGCCGAAATCGACCTGGTGTCGGTACTCCACCTCAGGCACCGGTGCCTTCACCAGAGGAAAGGTAGTAGGCGCCGGCTCCTGCGTGCTGGAAAATGCCAAAGGCTAGTCCTCTGAGCTTGCATCCGCATCTTGTGAGTCATGGAGAACCCAGAGACTCCAATATCCC